GAGGCAGTGAAGGACAGGAAGGCCTGGCGCAATATGGTTCATGGGGTCACGAAGAGTCGGACACGACTTAACGACTGAACAACAACAAAAAATTGTTAACTTTTCCTTGCTAAAATGTTTGGGACTTCATGAAGAATAGGAAGCAACAGTGAATATTGGGAAGAGCATTTGTGATGGAAATGTGGCAGAAGAGTGGTGGGCAGGGACAACATCATTGTTGCTTTTCTGCTCTGAACTGTCCTTCAGTGGCTCTTCATTTGCCCAAGGGTAGGCAACCTTTATGGGCTAGTGAGGGCCTGTGGAATTTGGGGAGCATGTTGTGGGCACTTTCGCGGAATGACTGCCATGATTGGCATGGGGAGTTAAAAGATGCCCATATAACAGAAGACAAACTGGTGAGGATACTCCCCATTCTCCTCCTTTATTACTCCAACTTAGCTTTGCTTGTTGTCTGGGTTAGGCATATTTCCAAATAAAGTCCTAGGCTGTTGGCGTCCATCAGTTTTATTTCCTAAAAATGGAAAATAAGCGGAAATAAAACTGACGTTAGTGCTGTGTTTTGTGGCATGTCAGGTGTCCCTTCTTTAAATTACAGGAATCTTTGGAGGGAAAGCTAGGTGGGGCTCACCACTGCCCTAACTCAAGCCACGGAGCCACCCTGGATTTGTTACAGTGAAACCCAGGGGGGAGCAATTTAACACCCTCCAGGTGATTGGTCTATAAATCTCATCAGCCACATCCAGCTTGGCTCTGGGGGGATTATGGGAGTTTGTGGTTGCAGATATATGGAGGGTACTATCTTACCCTGCCCTGCATGTTTCCACATGCTGTTTAGTTTCATCGAGAGCCATGAACTAATTTTATTCTGATTAGACATTTGTCCAAATGACAAGACACTCAGCAGCTGAAGTACAATTGGATTGAAAAGTGTTGGAGGGATGTTCCTCACAGCCAAGTTAACATGCTATCCATCGTCCTTGAACCACCAAAATGCTATATTAACATACAGTTTGGTGCCTCCCTTGGGGATCTCTCTCCTGCTGTAGGTCCAGTGCCATTAAAGGCTGCTGTCATTATTCACAGTGTAAAGGGCATATTAAGGAACGGGGGTGACGGATTCCTTTGGCTTTGTTTTCCTTCTCTTCCCTCAAATATCACCAGTTGGTGGGAAAACACCCTCTAATCACTCTCCTTCTCATGGGCTGGAGCTGGGGAGGAGGTGAGTTTTTTCAGATGGCTTCACTCTAGTTTTGTGCAAGTGTTTTGTGCAGGTATGTTCAAAGGGAGTCCAACTATAAGCTGACAGACTAATTTTGAACATGGGTTTAACGCTATTTCAGTGAGTGCTAAACCCAACAGTCAAAGAAGCCCAACCAATACTTGTCAGGCATGGAGAGACTTTGCCATCAGACTTCAGCCCTTGACCTTGCTGCCCTTTGCTGGTCAGCTGCTGTTCAGGCTGATCCAGCTCATAGAGCCAGGACTAGACTCAAAGATCTGGTGGGGAGAAGGGGAGAACTGGATTCTCCCACTGCCTAAAACAGAATGGCCTTAGAAACCTCACTAGCCAATAGCTGCCTGGATCCTTCCACTCCCTAGGGGTGATCTGACTGCACCACTGACAAAATAGTTGGTCAACGGCACCATTGCAAAAACTGCATTAACATCAGCAAAGCTATGGTCAACTTAAAGCTGCCTTATGGAGATCCAATGAAGGCAACATCATGACCCAGCAGAAGAAAAAGTAAGGAAAGGATCTGAGAGGGCTTCCCAAAAGATGAAGCTTCAGAGCATTACAAGTAGCCCAACAAAACAACTGCACGTCATGCAGCTATTCTATCTTTTCCTCCTGAGCAGTTTTGTTGCAGAAAGACAAAAATGAACAAGAAATATTGCAGGGGAAGTGGAAGGTTCAAAGTGGAAGATGACGCATTCTGGATTTGTCTGTAAAATTCCATGAAAAGAGGCCAGGTGCTGGCTTTAGGAAACCTTTGTCTGGAAGCATCTGGAGTTAATCCATTTGAACTTAGGTACACCCTATGGTTGGGGGGTCACCCCAACTGAGGCAGAGGTCTCTCCCTCATCACAGGATCAGGCTGGCTCTCTACCCCTGACCCTCCTTCAACCCGCAGGAGGCAAAGGGGGGGGGCTAAAATACCCCTCTGCTGCCTTACGGGTCACCCAGGAATGCCCTGGCAGTTCCACCAGACGCAAGGGGAACGAGCCAGCCTGAATAGCCTCACTGTTGCTTCCCTCTTGGGTGGGGTGCCCTTCCATGTTTGTTTTTCTCTGTAGTACCCCCTGTGCCAGATTTGGCTGTGCTGCCTTGCAGCCTGATGAATTGCAGCCTGTATGCGTGCTTTCGTTGGAAGGGCCCAGCCCCGGCCAAAGGAAACACCCTGATGGGAACAAGGCAGCTTCTACTTCTTAGAGAGGCAAGCTGGGGACGGGACAAGAGACATCTCTCCCGCTCCCCTGCCCCACGTCCTACTCTGGGGAAAGGGAGGAGATCTTCAGATGTCATTGCAAAGGTCTCGGTTTGGGGGGATGTGGATGATGTTGGCAACTTCAAAGCTGAACTGGCACATGCACTGGGACTCATCTCTCTCCATTTCTTGTTTCCAGGTGCCCTCTTCCTGCCAGCCCCCCCCTCCGGGTGAACTGGTAAGTGCCTGCTCTTTCGCCACCCTCTGCCCGTTTGGTGCTTGACCCACGTTCTACTTTCCAGATGAGAAAGGCAGGGTAGTCTCTTGTGGTGAAGTTGACAAAGGGCCTTGTGGTGCTTTGAAGACTTTAGGCAACAATAAAAGTGCTGGTTGTTAAGGTGGGGCAAGATGCTTTATGGTTTTAGCTCTGGGCACTCTGAGCTGCGGATGTGTGCATGTAAGGAAATTAAATGTGCTGCAAAGGGTGGCTTCATATAGCTGCCTCTTTAAAAAAGAGGATTTACTCTGAGCTTTTCTCTTCTGAATTATGATCTTGCATAATGGCCCGTCTCTGCAAAGCTTTTGACGCATATAGGAATTGTTTGATTTTCCCGTATGCTGCTCTTTCATTCTTCTCCAATATTTTAGAATACAGTATATGAAGGGCTGCTGGCTCTTTTTTTTTTTTCAATTCGAAATTTGTCTTGCTGATTTATTTAGGTATTATTTAAAATACTTCCAATGCTTGATTCTTATCACTCTGTGACTCATTTTTAAAGAGCTGGAAAAAATTTAGTCCGGGATGAATTGGAGCTGTTTCTGTTGTTTCATAAACCACTTTCCCCAATCCTTCCATGTAATGTATGGCCAACTTTTGCCCACCCTAGAGAAAGATGCTGCCTACTCCCTGACCCAGATTATTTTAGGGCAGGGGCTGTTCGCAGAACAAAACAGTGTGTGTTCTGGAGACGCACCACCATTCAAAGTATATCTGTGGGTGCACCCTCTTTTTCCGTTATAACCTAGACATGTGTTGGTTCAATGCACTTTATAAATAGCTACTTTTTTCTGCCTGATGAGGAGTTCAGTGAATGCTTGGTTTTGTTTTTTTTCCCCCTATCCCAATGATCAAGTAATGTATGTACTTCTTTATCCAAGATGACATGACTGAACTGGTGGTTTCAGTTTAGATGATCACCCTGGTCATGATTGTCAACTTACTGGTTGAACTAACCAAATCTTTCCCACTTTGATTGCTCTAGAGTAAAGATGACTGAATCTGCTCCCCACCCCACCCCAAATTCCAAGGTATTAAGAACTCTTTTTATGAGCTCAGGATGAGCTAATAGAATTTGACCAGAGTACTATATATAATTGATCAATTTGGTATCTAGGATTTCCAGTTATTATTTGTTTGCCTTTGACTCAGTTTGAGCACTTTCAAAGCAAGCTAACAAAAATCGAAAAGTTGAATACAAAGGAAGTAAAAAAATTAGAAATGTATCTTACCACCAGTGCAGACATTAAGATAACCTTAGAGGATTCCTGCTTGCACATACGATGCATCAAAACTTTGGTCATGCTCTGGAGGAGATGGCCAACCTTGGCATTCTGGCACAGCAGACCTGTGTATAGTGCATCCAGAGTCACCTGACACTGTGCCAACAACAGTGAGCGAAACAACTTTACATGCTTCCATTGCGGCTTTTGTGATGTGAAATGGACCATCTATTCTTCTTCATGCTGCTTACCTCTACTATTTAGGACTTTTGCAAGAATCCTAAATGGTAGATTATGATTATGTATCATCAAGTTGCTTTTGACTCCTGGTGACCACATAGATAGTTCCAAAATCTCATCCACCCTCCTCAGTTTTTAATTATTTCAAGACATTATCTTGAGGGGTTGATTATGCCACCTCTGTTCCTTCTTTTGCAAAAGTAGGTGAGGAGATAGAAGGTCTGAACTGAGACTTGGAGACAATGGTGGTGAACAAGCTCAGTTCGAAGGTGGAGAAATCAGTGGTGAAAGGATAGAAGAAACAGATTTGGGAGCTGATGATTTCCTGTACTTGATGGAAATATACTCCCTTGGAGCTCTTCCTCACTGATACAGTAATGTAAATTTCTCCAGTCCTTGAATTGCAGAAAAATATGCTAGGATAATTTGCAGTGCCCTAATGGCCACGATCTAATCAGCTTCAGTAATGAGGCATGTGAAATGGTCCTGTCCTTACAGCTTTACTGCAGGACAATTTAAGCACAGCAATCGATCAGTTCTGTGGCTTTGTTTCCCCTCCCACCCAACATCACCAGTTGGCAGGAAAAAACAACAATTAAAATATGGCAGCAAGTATGGTAGTTGGGTGCCTGGGAAAGAAACAACCTGTAATAGTATGTGGGAAAGGCATTGGGAGACTGGGCCAAGAGATGGTACTAAGGGAATGATCAGATAAGAGACAGCATAACCCACAACTGGATAGTGGGTGGGGCAAGAGGCTCAGAAGGGACCCTCCCTAGTTTCTCAGGCTGTAAAGGAGATGGGGCAGGGGCAGAATTGTATTTTCAGACTTGCAAGATTCTGTCAATGTAGCTTTACAATAAAGTAGAATTAGCCCATCTGGTTGTGATTCTTATCTGGTTGACCCTGCGAGGCCAACACCACCTTTCAAGTTGCTTGCTTGCTTGACAGATGACCTGTCACTTGGGCTATACTGTATCTGAATGGAATATACCAGTCTTCTGGATGGCCAGATGACAAGTTGGTGAGATGGAGAAGGGGTGCAGAGTGAAGCAGGAGGGAGTCTGCTTGGCCCATTGAGAAAGTTCCCTCCCATTTCATTCTAGCCTCTCCTCCAACCCACCAACCTGTCAGCTGGTCTGTTTTGGATAGAGGTTTACCAGTCTTCCTGAAAGAGTGTATTGGCTTCCTGTCATTTGGGCTGAAAGGGGAAACTGTCAGAACTCATGTAAATTTCACCTCAGCTTTCCAACTGTTTCCAAATCAGTAAACATTGCAAGGAAGGAATGGTAGCACTGGCAGCAAGTGCCATAATCATCAGAACCCAGAAGTACCCTATGAAGTATACAACAGAGTAGGAGAGTAGGCACAATGGCACTGCCTTCTTCCCAAAGCAATCAAAACATAGCCATCCAAAATCCCTTGTTGTGAGAAGCGGCAGAAAATCTTTAATGTGCTTTTTTAGAACAGAATCATCAACGTATCTATTTGCCAGTTTAAACTGACTTTTTGTTTTGTTTTGGTTCTATACCCACTCTTTTGAAATACATATGTTTAATAACAGGTCTAGTGATCTTCCAGGAGAACGGTATACTAGTGTATATAAGGAGCCTGAGTACTGCCTGAATGGCACTTCCATGGGAAGATAACTCCACAGAAACCCTTGGCAGATGCTGGCCCAGGGGTGCATCGTCACTGATATTGCGAATGGATCGTAGAGCGTTCATATGCCAAGTGGGGAGAAGATGGAAAGCACTGCTTTAAATTGGAACAGCTTTGGACATATTTAAGCTGCCTCTTGGGGTTAAGACAAAAACTGCATATAGATATGTCCTCTAAAGATGGTTAGTGGGGACTCTGAGCTGCCGTTAGGGGGTTGCATGGAGCAGCCCTTTGAAAGACCAGACAATCGCCCAATGATGCTATTCAGTCCAGCATTATTTTTGAATGCTCAGGAGGCCACTACACCAAAAATGACTTAAACCAATGATGAACTGGCTTCTTGTCACTAGCATTCCTTGGGATAGACTTCTATAATGTGCTCCATGTGGAGCTGATTTTGAAGACTGTCTGGAAAACGCAGACATTATTTCATTGTTTGCTTAAGGAAGAGAATTACAGGGCAACATGTTATACGGGGGTTAAAAACTTGCACTGACTCTCAGTTGATTTTCGAAACAGACTTGACATATATTCTTAGGATCAAAAAAAAAAATCTCATTCCTCCTTGGCTATGAGGAATTTCCTTACAGTGGCATCCTGTCTTGAAACTTTCCACAGAAAAGCCACTCAGGCTAGTGTTTTTCAGACCTTTCAAAAACTGGCTAAGAATTGTGGATTTTTTTCCTCAAGAGAGATTTATAGAAGGAGGGGTGGGTATATAACTGCTCTCTCTGAACATGTTTTTCTAATCCATCCTCTTTGTAAGTCTCTCCATTGCTATTTTACTTGCAAATGAAAAATATGGATAGTTTTCTCAATTATTTTATTTATTACTGTTAAAAATAGCTTTGTTGTCTTTTCCAGCCATGATTATTATCATCCCAAGGGCTTACTTGAGCATTGTGGTAGAGAACAAATTCAAAAACAAGTAAAAATGGTGCCTCTCCTCCACTTGGTTTAAGAGAATAAATTAAGTGTACTTAAATGTTGCCTTCCTTTGAAAACTACTAACCAGATTAGGAAACATAGATTGAAGATGGTTATTATTTGAATGGGAGACCAGCAGGAAATTACAGGGTGGTAAACTAGGATGGGAACTTGAAAATACTGGGAGAAGGCAGTGGTGAACCAAGTCTGTACCACTGCTAAGAAAAAGGCATGAATGTGTCCAAAAGTAACCAAAGTCAAGTTTAATTTGAGGACTTGCTTACCTTCTTATGGTGTATGTATATATATTCATTTTGATTATTCTTTTAACATATGAATTCCACCTGGACATTTTTTTTTCTATGAGAAAATCTCAGCATCACTCTATTTCTTGACCACATTACTTTTCCATGTGTTTAATCATTGCAAGATTTTTTTTTCCCCCCCTTCTATAGTAATTTATTGTTAAGAAAAAAAACATCCTGCATGCAAATGTACATCTGA